ATTTGGATTTTCATATGACCACAAATGGTTGTTTCTAGAATTATTATACATTCCTTCTGTTGTGAAAATCGACTCGTCCGTAAATAAAATTTTAGCAACTGACCTCCTATGTCCGGTAATCCATCGAACTCTTTTATGCCTTTCTTCGAACATTTGTACACTTTTTCCATACTTTAGTAAGAGTAATGCCAATTTCACTCGAAATTCTTCTGGTGCTTGAAGATGGATTTTCCTTTGTTAGATTAATGTCTCTTTGTTTTTTTATATTTCAAAATTGGTGGGGTTTCAAGAGCATGGTTAGGTGACAAAGTCATAATTTTTCCTTCCCCCATAAATTTCGATTCGATGTTAAAATTCGGAACAACCTGTATATCTTTAATCTATCTTCAGTAATAGAACTGCTTGCTATATTTTTATATTTAACAAATATTTTGGCACTTTCAGTTTTCAACTGAAAGAAATTTCAAAGAAATATTTCTTTTCAAATTACCGCAGCGGACGACTTTATGGGTTTAGTTATGGATTCTATAAGTTTAACAGATTTCATCTTCAATTTTTTTCAAATTCTTCAATAGAATGAGAAATTTACAATGAAGTTTTGTTATGAATATTTACACTTGCGATTAGCTACTATTGGTCATTGTTGGTACTGTCAACTTTGCAACATAGACATAATGAGATTACCACTATAAATATAATTAATGTCAAAATTTAGAAATCTCCACTAAAAGATAAACAAAAAAATGTATTCTACTATTAGTTGATTTTATTTTATAAGTGTAAAAAGCTTACGAATAGCTTTAAGAAAAACATGTTGTTACACCCTGTATGTTGTTGTTTCTGTAACAAAGCATGCTTTGATATCATATGTCCTACATTATTTTGAATTGTTTTAATGGTCTGTCAAACTATACGATTAAATTTAATTTCATTTGAGTAGATCACTATGAAAATACAGTACTTTTCCATAATGTATATTACCATTAACTTCTAAAACAAGTAAGACAGAGGGCAGGTGCTCAAAATCATTGATATTTGTAGGTAAGTAGGTACAAAAATGTCGGTGTATGATTAAAGTAGTAACAGGAAAGAGAGAGTAGACATTTTCGTAAATATTTAAGTTTCCTATCTACATTTCAATGTTACGGTTAAATCTGATGTCATTATCATATTCCTCGAAACGTTCCGGTGTCTGATTCATTCCGGTTATTCATTTCAGTGAATCAAAATTAATCAAGAAAGGAATTTCTTAAATACCTTGACAATTAATGAAAAATTTACAGTTACTTTGTCTAAATATAACGGCACCTTTAAATGTGCACCATGTGCAAAGGTAAATTAATTTTTATCTAGATAAAAGATAATTGATACAATTCATAACTATCATTCATAAAATCAGTTAACGTGTTTCGGCGTTATAAAAAAAATTTACTCATTCAAAAGATATGAATTTTATTCCGAACTTCTGGCCATCCCTGTATGTATTTAAAATTTATAAATATATATTTTTTCTTTTTAGTTTAGGAAAAATACTAATACATAAAATAAAAAAATTCTACATGCCACAAATAAGTAATTAGAAACAATAATTATGTCGAAACCCGAAATAATTAAAATGTATGAACTGGGTGAATTAAATATTTTAGGAAATGCAATTTTCTTCAAAACCCTTGAAAATAACTTTAATTGTGACAACGGTATTATATTTTCTCTAAAGAAGTATAAAAAATATTTATATCTATATTCACATTACTGTCCTGATTGATTGTAACTGGAAAGACTTTTGGTTGTTAATTTTTTTTAATATTGTCAACGTTTTCTAAATATAACAATTGAAAATCACTTTCCTGACGTTCTCGACCTTGATACGGATAGAGTTAGAAAAATATCTATTCAAACATTTTTTACTCATAGTCTCCTCTGAAACCACATGTTCTTGGATTGTTAATATCTCATTTAGTTTCCATGATATTGTTATTTGAGTGTAACGTGTTTGTGTTAGTAACGATTTTTGATATATGCGATTTTCTGGAACAACGATGTACGCATTTTGCATGAAACTGGGGAAAACTTTCAAGGAAACTTTTTACCTTTTGAAACAAGCTTACGGAGATAATGCTTTTGGTCGTACGGATTGTTTTCATGATTTAAAAGTGGTCGTCAGTCAATTGCAGATAATTCTTGACCAAGAAGGCCTTTTACTTGAACTGATGACTCGCGTTCAGAAAGTCAAAAATCTGGCACGTGCAAATCGCCGATTGACTATGAGAAAAATTGCAAAAGAGGTTAGCATCTCAATTGGGCCATACCATGAAATTTTGACTGAAAAATTAAATAAGTATACAGCAAAATTTGTTTCTCGTTTGATGACCGAACAACAGAAAGAAAATCGTGTGGGCATTTCTTGGCACCCCGTTGAACAATCCAATGGCGATAAAACATTCATTCAAAGGATCACAACGGGAGACGAAAGCTAGGTTTACGGCTACAACATTGCGACAAAAGTTCAATCAGCACAATGGATTGGCAAGGAATCTACACGCCCCAAAAAAGCACGTCAGTTTCGATCCAATGTCAAAGTGATGCCCACTTTTTTTTCGACTAATGGAATTGTGCATTTTGAATTCTTGCCTCAAAGTGAAACGGTGTATTACTATCAAGACGTTTTACAAAGGTTACGTGAAAAAATAAATCCGCAAAAAGAGACCAGAATTATGGCGAGACAACTCATGGTTCTTGCACCATGACAATGCACTCACACATTCAGCTTTGTCAGTTCATTAGTTTAGTGCCAAAAATCAGATTACTGTCCTCCCGCATTCTCTTTACTCGCCAGACCTGGCTCCTTGTGATTTTAATAATAATAATAATTATTATTATTATGCCTTTATTTATATCACAATTTTTTTTTATACATGGACGTATTTAAAGGATGGCGATATTCACCATATGGTGCTCTTCCATATAACCATCCAGGAAAATAAGGAAGCATTACAAACATACGCTATAGCAAATAAAGTAGCAAACATAAAAGAGAAACAAAAACAATTATTTAAACACATAACACACCCAAATGTACACTCATATTACGACAAAAATTAAATCCAGTAATAATAAAAATAATACAACCAACTGATACAATAATTAACTAATAAAGATTTTAAGACTTTTTTTAAAAAACTGTGAACAGACTTGCGGGACCTGACATCATTAGGCAAAGAATTATAATTTTTAAAGCATTGTAAGAGAATGACCGGTGAAACAGAGCAGTCCTATTCTTTGGAACACAAAAGTTACAACGGTTACGCGTGGGCAAATGATGCACGTCAAAATTCGTAATGAGCTTTGAAGTTAAATATTCAGGTTTATGACATAATAATAACTTAAAAGTCAAACAGGACAACTGGATCCGAAATCTAGCACCACTTCGAATTTTTAAAACTAGGAGAAATATGATCAAACTTACGAAGACCATAACTAAACCTGATACAAGCATTTTGAACTTTTTGGAGATGCTTTTTATCCCTGAGGTCCAAAACAGGCCAATATACTGCCATGCGGTATGAAATGGTGGATAATATCAGCGAATCACAGATTTTTAATTTAATTTCAGTACTAAGAAGATTTTTATGCATGTAAAGAGCTTTCAGCTTGTCAAAAGATTTCTGAGTAAGATAGGTAGTTGACATGCTTGGAAAATCTAAGAGAATTGTCTACCCACAACCCTACATTTTTGCAGTTGTCAGTTGGAACAATAGTATGTCCATTCAAAATAATAGTAAAATCTGAGTTATCTACAATGACATTCCTTTTATTTCCAAAAATTAACATTTGAGTTTTAGATTAATTTAAAATAAGATTATGAGCCAAAGATACCTCAGAGATAAAGTTTAGATCAGTATTGATCAGGGCCGCAGCTAGAGTTATCGATCTTAAAAAAAAAGGACACAATCAGTGACCCGGGGGGCCTAGCCACAGCTGAAGAGATGTCAGAAGGACAAAAAGACAACTGCATACTGATGGGACTAACAATATCGGAGATAACTATAAAAATCAGCAGTAAAAGAAAAGAGGATCTAGGACATTACCCTGAGGAAGTCCAGCAGAGAGGGTAGGGGAGGGGGGAGTAATAAATAATACAATTTAAAAAAATAAAGTTCGGTTACTTTAGTCAAATTTATGTGACATTTTCAAGTGGTTCAAAATATACATAATAACAATACTAATGTTTATAAATTGTCACATAAAGTTTATTTATTCCTTAAAATAAAATATATTTTGAAGAAAAACATTTAAGTGCATCCTTTTTTCGTCTATCAAGATTCAAAATTTCAGTAAAGCTAAATAGAAAAAACTCGTATAACTAAAAGTTCTTTCCAGGAGCATTAAAACAGAGAAATTTCTAAAAAAAATACACCGCTCCATTGGGCGATGTAAACACGTACCTAACTAATACTACTTTAAATGACAGCTACTGAAAATATAACACCATTTACACAATTAATTATCTTTATTGGTTTCCAAGAAAAACGTATTTCCAAAGATATATATCGATCACCATGTATTTACAATTAGAATAAGAATATGTCACACGACAAAAACTTGAAATTCTAGAAGGGAATTTTAGTATTAAGTAATATAAGAGAAATCTGTAAACCGCATTACTACTATTACTGTTACAAGAAAATAGAATTTAACGTAAATTCTAATTAATACATTTACAAAATTCAATTATTTATCCCATATTTAATTTAAAAAAATAGTTAATGTTTGTAAATATATTTTATGTTAACTCGAATATACTAGTAATAAAATCGCACTAAATAACTTTTCTGTTTAGTGTTATAGTGTATATTTTTTATATACATGACATTTGTTTTACAATAATTTTGGGCATCTAAATAATGTTTCAGTTAAAATTAATAAAAATCGCACTATTCTTAAAAAATATTATTTACTTCAGTTTGTAATTTGAAACATCTATGTAATTTATATCCTACCTTTGTTAAAAAATATCCAGTCACTTATAAAGGGTGTAATAATATACTCAGGAACTACTCAGCACATTGTTTTAAACCCGTTCGTTGAATATTTGATTTACGATGAACAAAAGTTTATCGAAAAATGAGTCAGAACACATTCGCTCGTAGAGGGCTACTGACCCGGTGAACAATACGACAGTTTTCAAACAATTTCGAAATTACTAAAACATGCCACAAACGTTGTCCCTTGCGAGACCAACTAAGAAATCGTTGCTCTTTCATTCGCATTCGTGCCACCTCTCTTCTTGTAGTTTGTTAGCCTACATTTCGTGCGGGCCGTCTGTGCACTAGCCTCATTAAGGAAGTGAATAAAAATTAAGGTGTCCGTACACGTCAAGGTTTGTGTATGCCATGTGGATAGCGTATATTTACAGTAGGTGCCAAATCTAGGTAAAGTAGTGTACAGGGTCGTTGCGCCAGTGAGAGTTTTATAGACCTAAAATGTCTGAAATAAAATCAATAAATATAATTATTGACTTTTGGTTTATAAAGTTTCATCAAAATTTCTCAAATAATAAAAAAGGCTATGATGGTAATCATTTCAAATTTCAAAAAAAATTAATTTATCCAGTATTACAAATACAAACATTTTACAAGGGCGACATTTTTTAGCAAACCTTTCATCTTTAAGACAAAGAAATAGAAATTATAGATGAAACAATAGACCTCTGATAAAATTCAGGGTGTCTGGTAAGTAAATGGCATACTCTCGGGTCAGGAAGGGGAGGCCAAAATAACCCTAGTTTCTAATAAAAAAAAATCCTAAACGGAGATACAGAGTCGCAAAGGGATGCTCAGTGATTTATTCGGCTTTGACTTTTGAACCGACATGTATTTAATAAAATTTTAATATTATATGTAGGCCATAAAGGCTCATAAAACCATACTACAGTAGACGTTCTACAATGTCAAGGAAGTCAGGAACAGACTTCCCACCACATTCGTTGGGCCAAAATTTTGACAGGTGTCATTTTATAAAGCTGAAAACTGAATTTTTAAATACTTTCGTCATTCCTCTTTAAAAAAGGTACTCTACATTTGTTTCGATAAAATTAGCCGTTTATGAAAAAATTAAGTGTACGAATAACATTGACTTTCGAAATTTATTTAATTATCAAGTTTATTAACATAAACTGTTTAAACATAATAATTAATCGAATAACATCATAACTAATAATTCGTACTAAAATAATCAAATTTGTCATTACTACATCTCATTAATGCTGACACGCATCTAACTTATGGACAAGCACTCGACAATTGTGTGGAGGCAAGAAGAATTTATTCCGACACATCCAAATCACTTCAACGCAAGGATGTTAAAAATTCGGAAACATTGCTTCTTCTTGTTTAATTGAGCAGATTTTCTAAATGGGCGCCCTCTCTATACATTTGCTTATCCGACTTATGTTTTCTCGTTATACTTGAAATAACATTCCATTGTCTCGAAAGTATTTAAAAAGTCAGTATTCAGCTCTATAAAATAACACCTCTCAAAATTTTGGCCCATCGAGTGTGGTGGCAAGTCCGTTCCTGACTTCCCTGACAGTCTACAACATCTAATGTAGTATGGGTTTACGAGTCTTTATAACCTACATAAAATATTAAAGAGGCACTTTCGGAATTTTATTTTTATTACAAACTAGGGTTGTTTTGACCTCCCGGCAGTATGCCATATACTTACCAGACACCCTGTATGTGCAGATTAGTACTATGTCAAAAAGTGATATATATATATGGAAGTACTAGTGTACCAAATTTCAATAAAATCTAATGAGGCGTTTCAAAGTTATTTGAAAAAGAAAACAACTTTTTTTGTCAAGCAGCTTAAAATTGGAGGTAAGTGTAACTACAAAATAAGCAGATTTAACAAAATCTGCTTATTTTGATCACATGCAACCGTGGTAGCTCCATGTACACTCGACGCAAGATAAAGGTTTCCAATCTGAATCGTATTTTGTTTGAAATATGACGGCTTAACCGCTTGTCTATATGGGGCTTTCCCATTAAACTCGTGTGGCAATATTTTACCGCCATATCTGACATTTTACGAGTTTTGTACAAAAATGCTTTCCTAGTAGATTGGCATTTTTAAAATGGGACTAATCGGCAAACTCTTATAGCAGACCCCGTATGCATTTTTTATTATCTTGTTTCTATTAAAAAGAGTTGCATTTACATTACAATAGAAAAATCGATTCATCCTAGTTAATAAATCTTGCGAAACGTCTACTACCTACTTACGAATAGTTACATTGAACGGATTTAAAAAAATTAAAAGTTTTAATTTTTTTTTAATTTTGAAAACCCTGCAGCTTGGAAACGGCGGCCTTAAGAGCCTACGTGTGTGTAACAAAATTTACAATTTTAGCAACAGAATGGGCCTCTGGTTTTTTTGTACGCCATTAATGAACACTGTATAGGTGGCCGCAATGAAATCAGTTGAAGTTTCTTATGAAAGTTGTAAAGCATACAATTCTACATAAAAATGGCCTCTTGACTTTTTCTTGTACTATTAAAATTAACAGAGTTAGGGAGGCTGGAAGTTAAGGGAAGATTTTGTATTTTTTTCAATCTACTTTAAAAAATGTAACTTTTCTTTTCAGAGAAATAGATATAATTTTTAATTTTTAATAAGAAAGTTGTAACAATTTTAAATTTTTAATCGTTAATTTTAATGATGACAAAACTAAGACATTTTTTTTCTATACTATTCGATTGATTATTTAAAATAATGAAAAGTTGCCTTCGAATTTTTTTTACGTTTGTTTTTTGGACAGATACAAATTTATTTACCTTTTAAATTTTATTTAGCTCCTACGACACTGTCAGGACAAAGATAAAAAATCACGTTCGCTTTGTCGCACTCATGGTACGAAGTTGTGGACAACTCATATGATTATGACAAAGATAGATTATTTCGTTCTTTAAATTATTGTATGTGTTAATCTCAAATAGATAAATACATATTAATAAGGACTAATATTTTTTCTTTTAGCCTAAAACGGATTTCAACGCATGCAAACTAACCTCCAAAAATAATATTTCCGTGATAACTCGGGTTCTAATTAATATTTATGTAATGCATCAGTTGAATGAACAGTATGGCGATATTCCACCAAATAGAGATACGCTCTGGGAACGTATACAAAATATTTGGAACGCTGTAGACGTGAATTATACCGGGTATCCCAACGAAAATTTGACCCCCCCTATAATTGGAAAACCGAATAATATTTCAAAATTCGCCGAGACCCGTCGATTTTTGTACTTGGGGGGAGCTTTTTTGACAGTCAAGCCAACTCGATATGTTCATCCCCCTAATGCCTAGCAACCCCAACTTAAAAATTTCAAATGCAACTACCCCACTTGTGGCACATCATTTTAAAGCCCCTTTCATTGCGAATACAGTGACGTACCGTTTTTAGAAATCGTTTGAGATTTGACAGAATTATTGGTTAAAAACGAAAAGATGACAAACCAACTTACGCGTAGTAATTTCTACACAAATGCCCACCACTAATAAGTTTTTCATCTACTACACATGACCGCATTACCTAATTGTTATTGATGTGTCTATCAGTTTACAAAAAAGTCAGAAATGAAATAAAAAAGCTGAAGCAAATAAAACTAGATACTAAAATAGTTATTAGTAGAAGATACTTAAGTTTATAGGAATTCAGACCTTTTCAAAATAACAAAAAATCAGTACTACAAAAAAAGTCGGTGTTTTTTGCTTGTGACCAAGAAATCGTTAGTTTCAGCCGTTATTGAAAGTATTAACGTGTGTTCGAAATGGTTTATTCTATCGCGGAAAGAGTAGAAATTGTTGCAATTTATTATCGAAATCACGATTGCGCTAAAGCTACAGCACGAATTTTTAATGCCAATCATCCTGAAAAAAATGTAAACCACCAGTACGTTAAACACCTGATTGACAAATTTGTTGCAACAGGTTCGCTTTTAAACAAGAAACGTGAAGTAATTGGGCCAGTTCGAAATGAAGCAGTTGAAGTGGCAGTTTTGGGTCATGTACAGATGGATAATAAGCAATCGATTACAACTGTGTCTCAAGCTTCTGGCGTATCCCGTTCCAGTGTTCATCGAATTTTGAAAAAACACAAGTTTCATCCATTTAAGATGACGCTGGTTCAAGAGTTACATGAAGATGACTTTGATCGCCGTAACCAATTTTGCGAATACTTTAGTGAACAACTTCTACTGAATCCAAATCTTCTCTACAATACATGTTTCTCCGACGAATGCACATTTATGTTGAATGGCGAAGTGAATAGACACAATTGTCGTTATTGGAGTGATACTAATCCGCATTTAATCAGGGAATTTCATACTCAGACACCTCAAAAATTGAATGTTTGGGCAGGCATTTTGGGCGACCATCTTGTTGGACCATTTTTCATCCAAGGTAATCTCGATGGAAACACCTATCTAGAATTATTGGAAAGTACAATTGATCCTAGGATAACAGAGATTTTAGAAAGTGACGACAATTTACTAGAAAATGAAATAACCTTCCAACAAGATGGTGCGCCCCCGCACTATGCTGCTGCTGTGCGACAATTTTTGGATGACCATTTCCCGGGGCATTGGATTGGCAGAAGAGGTCCCGTCGAATGGCCACCAAGATCTCCGGATCTGTCCCCTTTGGACTTTTTTCTGTGGGGTCATTTAAAATCACGAGTGTACGCCACTCAGCCGGAAACATTGCAAGTGCTACGTCAGAGAATTGTAGAAGAATGCCGATTAATAACTGCGGATGTCTTTAATAATGTTCGAACAGAATTTGAAAACAGACTGTATTATTGTTTGGAAGTTAACGGGGGTCATTTTGAGCAATTCATCAAATAAATCTGATTTATTATTTGCTTCAGCTTTTTTATTTCATTTCTGACTTTTTTGTAAACTGATAGACACATCAATAACAATTAGGTAATGCGGTCATGTGTAGTAGATGAAAAACTTATTAGTGGTGGGCATTTGTGTAGAAATTACTACGCGTAAGTTGGTTTGTCATCTTTTCGTTTGTAACCAATAATTCTGTCAAATCTCAACCGATTTCTAAAAACGGTACGTCACTGTATTCGCAATGAAAAGGGCTTTAAAATGATGTGCCACAAGTGGGGTAGTTGCATTTGAAATTTTTAAGTTGGGGTTGCTAGGCATTAGGGGGATGAACATATCGAGTTGGCTTGACTGTCAAAAAAGCTCCCCCCAAGAACAAAAATCGA